CCCGGCCCCAGCGAGAGCCTGGGACTGCTGGGATCGGGTAAGGAAGCGCTGCGGCGTCGTTTCCCGCCCCTGAGCGCGGAGGCGAGCGATGCTGCAGCCAGACGGCGGCCCTGCTGCGGCACGGCGTGCCTGCGCGGCGGCACCGGCCAGCCCCCGGCCGGAGCCCCGCCGGCCGCAGAGCTCTCCAGGGCCTGCGGCGGGGCCGGCAGCTCTGTCCCGAGGGGTCCCCGTGACTCGGTGTCCGGGCAGGCAGGGAAGCAGCGACTGGACGCTTTCGCCCGTGGGCAGGGCAGGGCAGGGAGCGAACGAACGGGAGCTGAACCCAGGGGGAAGTAGGTGCCAGCTGCCCTGCATGAGTCGCCAGCCTCGAGTTTCACCACGGTCGCTCGGCCCGTTCAGCCTGGAGAAGGCTCGGGGGGCGGGGGGTCTTATCAATGTATCCAAAGGCCTGAAGGGAGGGTGCAGAGGGACCCAGCCAGGCTCCTTCCAGCGGTGCCCAGTGACGGGACCAGCGGTGATGGGCGCAAACTGACACGCAGGACGTTCCCTCTGAACATCAGGAAACACTTCTTCACTCTGAGGGTGACCCAGCACGGGCATAGGTTGCCCAGGGAGGCTGTGGAGTCTCCCTCCTTGGAGATACTCAAAAGCTGTCCCGAGACAGCGCTGGGCAGCCTGCAGTAGGTGCCCCTGCTTGAGCGGGGTGTTGGACAAGGTGATCTCCAGAGGTCTTCTCCCACCTCAACCACTCTGTGATTCTGTACGGTTTCTCTGGGGCAAATTATTTGCTAGCAGGCTGTGATGTTTTGGGTAGCGCTAGATATTTGTGCTTTGCTGCACTGAGGTATGCAGGCCTGAGTAGTTACAGAGGTCCTTCCTGGCAGTGCTGTCCTAGAGCCTGGGGTGTAGGCTGCCATGCTGGACCAGTCTCCCCTTGCCTTTCCCAGTTCACTGTGTAGACTCCTCTGTTCCAGTTACCATGGTTGAACGCAGCCTGTCTGAGTGGGCACCTGGCTACCACAACTCTGATAGAGCCCTAGTAGTGGTGGGAGCTCTTCCTCTTGACAGCTAGGACTTGCATCAGCCCTAATAATGAAAGAAAAGTAGGAGTCGCAGGAGAAACAGCCCCTGGAATTGTGTGTTCAGGCACCGGTGGTTGTGGCTTCTGCTGTCCCTGTCTGTCAGAGTTACAGAAGGGAGGGATGAGGAGCGAGCCATGACTTTGCTGCGTGGAAAGGGAGAGTGGAGCGGAGAAATGAGAAGCTGCTGAACAAAGCCATCTGCTGCCCTTCCAGGGCTCTGTCAGCCAGAGGGGAGGTGCGGGAGTTTGGTCCAGCGGTCCGCTCAGTCACTGATGGGCGAGTGAGGGAAAGGCCCTAAGCAGGGTATTTGCTAGAGCAATGGAAGTGTCCTGACTAGGGTCAGGAGCACAGTGGCTCCCCGGGAGTGTGGTGTGTCTTTCAATGACTACTCAGACGGCTTGTCCCTTCAGGGGCTTGCAGGCAGGATTGGGCGAATTGTTTACTATCTGAGCATTTAGAAGTTAAACTCCTGCAGGGGTAGGATGTAGTGAGTGAACAAACGGACCCTGAAAGATTTTGGGCACCCTGTCCCAAAAAGCATGTCTTTTGGGCTATATGCTCCAGTTTGCCTTGAAGGGAAGGCATGTGCAAAGAATGTCTGAGGGTGTTGGGTATGGGGGGAATAAATGGTGGTGTTGGTGGCCTTGTAAAACATTTCTGCTTGAAATAGCTGGCTGGAGGATCTGTCCTGGAGTGCTGCATCCTGGTACTGTGTGTCGCTGCTTGGCAAAATTCTTATCTCAGTCTTCCAGTATGTATGTAGCTCTGGGAACACATTATCTGGATGTGTGTCTGAAAGGTTTTCTGGTGCTACCTTGGTCTGCAGCCTCTGAACTCTGAACCCAAGGGGGCTGCGGCCTCCATGCTGCTGAGACTTCTCCAAAGGAATGAGTGGCTGGTTGTTGTGGCCCCACACAGCCTATCTGTGGCAGCCCTTGTAACATAAAGATGGTCATGGCTTTATGGCAATGTCAGCCCTGGGAGAAGCCTGGAATCTCACATCTGACAGTTGCATCAAGAAACAGCTCCAGGATAACTCATTTTTGAGTTTAACTTTTCTCTGTCTCCACCTTAGGTCTTAGTTCTTGTGTGAAGCTGCAGCATTCCTGGGGCATGCAGCCAGCCTGTGGTGTAGCGTCTGAGTCAACTGCTGTTTTCAGTATTGCTAACCTGAGCATTCAGATACTATGAGTCAGGTTAAAAAACTATTACTTTAAAAATAGTACATTGTGGGTTCTGTACGTGTGTCCTCTGGCATAAAAGCCTTCAGGGCTTATATGTTTAAAGTGGTTTTTTTTTTTTAGCCTGTGTAAAAACTTACTTTCAAGAAGCTGAATTTCATCACTTCAGAAAAAGACTGAAAGTTGAAAGATCCAGATACATCTTTCTCATCAGTACAAAAGTCTTAGGACCCATGGCAGAGGTCAGACTTAACCTCCTTTTGCCGTGTAATTAAGATTAGTATCACATTTACTATGTCCAGGGGCTGTGCTTTACATGGCCATGTATCTGATGAGGTGGAACTCCATTCCCCAGCATGATATGCAGAAGTTTTGAACGAGTTAATAACTAGAGTTGCTTTGTATCGAGATGGATATGACTAAGCATACCGCATTCCTGAAGTGTTACTTATTTTGATATAAAATCTGCTTGTTTGGTACTGCCTGTGTCTTTCAGACATCAGCATGGCAGAGTTTTGTTCAGTAAAACGTCAGGTTTGTTCTGGAGCTGAACAGAACGGGAGTAGCTGAGAACTCTGGAAGGGGTCCTTGCTGCTGTGCTGGCTGTCCCCTCATCCCTCCGGGACTGAGCTGGCAGCTTCCTGAGACTTCAGAAGACCAGAAACTGTCTTTTATTTGGCTACCAACACAGGAGTCTTGGTGACAAGGAGGTCTCTTGGGTGGTTTAGAACTGCACAGCTCTCATAAAAGGAGTGAAAGGTTGCTTCAGAACTGCATGGGCTTGCCAAGTCAGTGATCTGTGTGTTCTCATGTCTGTTGTGCAGCATGATAAGGTAAGGTGGTGTGTTAGTGCCTTTGTTTAGCTAATCAGGTGCTGGTGTGAGTGTGGTCGGGGGCTTGTGGGGTACCAGGAGCACCTGCTGTGGGTGGGCTTGACCTCAGCATCAAAGAGTATTTTATTCTTGAACAGCACTGGCCACATTCTCTCCTTGAGTATGTGGTTTCAGGAAATGGAATTGTCTTGAAACTTTGCATGGAAAATGCTTAGTGTGCTCTCTGGCTTTCAGAATTGGAAGAAGAGTTAGGGCTGCCTATCATGTGGTGTGAATGTGCCTCATTCTTCTGCTTTGGATAAAGATATGGAAGCTGTCTTCAAACAGTGTGGATCAGAGAGGCTGTCTTTTTGGAGAAATGTGTGATACTTTGTCTAGAAATTAATTTCTCTTTGCCCAAAACTACTGCTGTCAATGTAATAATTCAGTGTTCTTGACTACACTGAACTACTTACTATAAGTACTAATGCAGTAAGGATGATAAGTTTGTCTTCTGTGGAAATACTGGGAAGCATACTGGGGCCACTGAAGAAGTTTGGAAGGAGTGGTCAGGAGAGCAGCAGTCATGTTAAGTCTGGTTAGCTTGTGAAAGAAATGGTGCCTGTGGTCCCTGAGATACAAGTGCTGGCTGCCTAACTCAGGTGGTCTCTACCAGTTCTGTGTCCCTAAGCTGTGTTTTGGCCTATCTCAGACTGCCTCAGAGGATTACTTAGCTTGGGTCAGACCACCCCAATCTGCTCTTTTTTTCACCAAAGATCAGTCTCTACCCTTGCCATGGCTCACATGATGAGCTTAGATTAAACACCTAGTTCTTGATAGCAGCCACCTGCCTTGCACGCCTGGACAGGTAAAAAGCTGCATTCTTCTCCTTGAATGGTTACCTTGGAAGATACAGTTCAGGCCTGTGACTGGCAGAGCAGTACTGAGCAGGAGAGAACACTGGGTGCTTGAAGCTTGTGCTCTACTGTCTGTGTTTAACATAATCTAGGAGCCGTGTGTTTCTAATTGTATCTGGTAATTCAAAGATCAATGACATGCGTTGGAAGGACCTTCACTGTTGCACTCAAAACTGTATGGCTTCTTAGGTGAGTGAAGCTTATTTCTTCACCTGCCAAGTAATACTACTTCACCAGCCAGTGCATGGAGCTTCACTGGCTGGAGAAGTAATATTACTTGGTAGGTTTCTGCTGAAGAAGAGGAAATAAACTCAGTGTGGATTCTGTTTCTGCGTATGGGTCTATATAGCTCTGGATGCTAGAGTCAGGTAATTGCTTGAGCACGGGGTGAGCTGCGTGAACTCCAGGCATTCTTCAGTGAGCAGAATGGGTGGCAGCAGTGCAGACGTAGTCTCAAGTCTTGCCAGTACCTGTATGCTAGCTGGGATTGTGTTGCTTCACTGTGTTTCTCAGTTGCTGGTTGTGCCTCATCATGGAAACACAGATGGGGACAGTAGGAGAGGTAGGAGCATTAGCCTGACTTGGGCCATGGCTCTATATCAGGAAGCAGAAATATGGCAGACTGGCTGAGGAAACTACAGCAAATGCACTTTTTGTTGCGCCCTTACCAATGTGAGTCGGAGGAAGGATATGGGGCAGACTGGCAGCCAGCAGACCTGACTTGCTTGAGTACTGGCAGCCCTGCACACTCTGAGGTGGACCCAACTAGAAAGCTACTGAGTAGGGCTACTCAGTCTATTCTGTGCAATGATTTGTCCTCATGG